TTTTATCTTGAAGCGATATTGAGATTTATCTTCTCTCATCAAATGTGGGTTTGCTACGTGCCACTCGTGTAAGTTATGCAGGTTCATGTACCCATCTTTCTTAAATGTGGTCTCATCCGACCATAAAATTTTTTCAAAGAACTGTGGATCTTTCCTGTGTCTTTCTAACATTGTGCGACAAAAAGCAACTCGGGGCTCATAATCCCGGGGCAGGAGAGGTTGAACACGCTGTATGTGGTATGGATGAAGCACATCACTTACTTGCTATTGCACGCTTTGATACCGATCAGTACTCCTTCGTTTACTGCGCATCTTTACATGTTCGTGCTTGTTGATTTCGTACTGTTACTAATTTTGGATTCGTGAACTGGACTGTTGATCGCTTGTGATTTGGATTTGGACTGTTTAATTGCTCTTCAAAACAACATTTGCTTTCCTTAGACTCTTTGATAGTGTGATTGTGCAGTGCCGCTATGTCCGTGTACACCGTACAAGAACATGCTAACATGCACCTCATTTATGGGGAATGCAGATGCAACGCTAGTGCTGCATAGAGACTTTACTGTGAGAGGTACCCGAATGCAGCTCGTCATCCAGACCATCGAGTGTTCACAAATGTGCACCGCTTACTGTTCTGAGAGGGCCAACTACCAAACCAATCACACGGTGATGGAAGATCTTTCCTTCCTTACGAAGACGTGGTGCTAGGAGCTGTCGAAGAAGACCCGAGTACTTCAGTGCGTGCAATAGAACTAAAAACAGGTGTGCCCAAAAGTACAGCCCATAGCATCTTGCAAAAAAACGTGCTCCATCCATACCACGTACAGCGTGTTCAAGCTCTTCTGCCCCGGGATTATGAGCCCCGAGTTGCTTTTTGTCGCACAATGTTAGAAAGACACAGGGAAGATCCACGGTTCTTTGAAACAATTTTATTGTCAGATGAGACCACATTTAAGAAAGATGGGTACATGAACCTGCATAACTTACACGAGTGGCACGTAGCAAACCCACATTTGATGAGAGAAGATAAATCTCAATATCGCTTCAAGATAAATCATTGGACAGGAATTTTAAATAGTAAAATAATCGGTCCGGTTGAGTTCCCAGAGACTTTGACTGCTGAGGTTTATTTAGGTTTTTTGCAAAGTCATTTAGAAAATTTATTGGAAGACGTGCCACTGAGTATTTACAGGAACATGTGGTTTCAGCATGATGGCTGCCCAGCGCACTATGCACTCTCAGTGAGAGAGTATCTCGATCAAAAATTTCCAGGCAGATGGATAGGGCGGTCTGGTACAATACCGTGGCCAGCCCGATCACCTGATTTGAATCCTTTAGATTTTTTTTACTGGGCAACTGTAAAATAAAAGTGTATTTCAAGCCGATTCAAAATGTAGCTGAGCTACGGCAAAGACTATTGGAAGCAGCTGAGTTTGTTAATAACCGTGGATTCGCTCGTTTAATAACCCGATCTTTTTAAGAAGATGTCGAGCGTGTATTGCGGCTGAAGGAAAACAGTTTGAGCATTTGCTGTAAAGGTAAATCATCATCAGCAGCATTTTGACGCCACTGTTGTGCAAACAGTTATCCTTAAGGGTCCTTGTGCGTTTTCCTAATCGCTGTTTAATTAGGAAATTTGAAAAAATTTTCATCAGTTTTTCTTCAAATAAAAATTGTGCATAAGTTAACGAGTAATCTTCTAAGTGTTTACCATGTTGGAATCCTTATTAAATGCGCCAACTTTTAAGGTTACTTGCCAAACTCTCGTAGTACATTTTTTTCCAGTACAGCCAGTTAAAGTTGAGCAAAGTTTTACTTTGGAATACTTGGTTGGGAATATAAGTGACAATTTTTCCTGAACGAGAAAAGTTGGCAGTAAGGTTGAGACACCAGTTTGAAGATGCATTATTCATCATTACATTGTAAAAATAAAATCCAAAAAAAGTAATATTTGTAGTAACAGGAGTTGACAGACTGCCGTAGGGTGTGAAATTCTATATTTTCAAAACACATACATACAATTTTTTTAAATATTTTTCTGATAGCTGTATGACTTTGCCAATCACCCGGTTTCGGCTTGACGTCGACTTCTGGGACACCCTGTATTTTATCCTTGGCTAATCTCACGAGCAGCGTAATATTTAACTTTTGATTTCAACTTTTTTGTGTTCACTTAGCATTTAACTTCCGCTTCAGAAACACTGTCATTGTTATCGAATCACCCCGTATAGCTTACCTGTTGAGCTTGCCCGATCCTGCTAACAATACTAGTAACATCCTTCACCACGCAATCCACGCTAGCCTTAGCAATATCCGACTCATCATCTTTCCGATTCATCTCCAATCCTAACCGCAAGCAGTCCTTCAAACACGACTTATTGAAGCTACTGCTCGACATGAAGCTGATTATTTCGTTGTACTCTAATTTGCTGAGCAACTCCGCCGTCTCGTCGGCAACGTTTACATCGTCGTACCGCGCTTGATCTGGGACAGGTACCACTTTTTGTTGATCTTCAGCGTTTTTATGTGCTCCGCGTTAACCGTGCGTCGTTGCTCGAACTCGATCGGCGGAAGTTTGTAGAACTGCGTCAGTTTATTGAGCAGGCTGACGAGAGCTTCGTGCCTGAAATATAATTATAATTATATCCGTACATAACGTCTTAAATTTACAGCCTTATTTGCATATGGTAGCCAGCTGTGTCATTTCAACTACTACCAGTGTTGCCAGAGCGAAGTTTAAAATATCCGTCACACGTATCGCAAAATTCCGCTACATGCGCTACGGTCTAAACATTTAAGGGGGGGGGGGGGAGGCTTAAAATAAACAACAATTATATTTTTTACATATTTACTTTTTTTAAACACTGTCTAAAAACCCTACTAAAAATACAAACAGTAACATAATATAATTGCAATTTTTCGTAAAATAAAAAGTATACCTCTAAAAAAACAAAACTGTCTTTGGTTAGAATTAGGAACTAATAAAAAAATAGAAACTATCAGCAATATCTTAATCTTAATAGAAAAAAACAAAAAATAAGAACAAAGAAGAAGCGGAAACGTGGAAATGCCTACGTTTGCTTATCTTATTCACAGTCAGAATCAGAAATTACTTTTTCTTCAGCTTGTTCTTCCTTATTTACATTATATAAATTCTTTTTATATTTGTTTAAATGATTCTCATTAAAACTATAGGATAAACAGCACTGTTTTTTTTATTCCAAGTCTAATTTAATTGTAAGTAGTGCAGACAAAGTTGATGGTATTATTTTATTTCTTTTTTTTTGTTTTGTAATCAAGCATATAAGAAAAAGTTCGCTCAACATCAGCGTAAATATTCGTCATTAAAATTTTCGTCGTTACAAACGACCAAAATTCAATGACATACTATTTGTTTTAAAATTCCCTCTTTCTCACTATCACTAAAATAAATACATATTTTCTTTAGTTCCAAAATTGCCTTTTCGGTTTCAATATGAAGGGCAAATTTTTTTAAAACGGCGTCATGAAAGGTATCACTTATAATAAGACGATTGTTCATCACATCAACCGGTGAGAGAAACTTTAGCTCTGAAAAGAAGTTGTCTTTGATAGGAAATCTTTTAAGGACTCTGCGACCGATTTTGGTAAAATGAGACACATTTTAATTAAATTGTTCGATTGCCGTGTTTATTGCAGTGTTTTATTGCATCCATTGTATGCGGACCAACATTCACTTGTTCAATTGGTAATAAGCAGTGAGGATCATTAGGATTTAGCTTATATAATTTATCATTTTTAAAATATTCTGGTCGCATAAAGTTTGTACATAGATGACGTACAAATCGCTCACTCTCTATTGATATGATATTGAGCATAACTTTCTCTGATTGAAAGAGAGCATTAAATTGGTTAAAAATGGGCAACACGAATTTAAAAAAACATTAAATACGCCTTAACAAATGGATTCTGTAACTCAGTAAGTATTACATTTGCTACAGGATTTTTGGCTTCAATGGAAGCTAATCTAAATAGGCTAAGCAAAATGTCCCACTGATCCAAAACTCTATAAACACATTTGGATAAAGCAAGCCACCTTGTTTTACTAGGGCTTAATTTTGACTTTTTGAAATATTCCTGTAATTCTTCAAGAACACACTGCCTTTTTGGGCTTCTTGAGAAGTAAGAATATAAGTTTTGTAAAAGAGCTTCAACGTTGCTTGGAATCTTTTCAGCTTGCCGCCACCGCCACTAAATGAGCAGAGTGGCAAATGCAGCCATTGACAATTATATTAGGATTATCTTTTAAAAGATAAGTTTTTGAAAGATTCGTTATTGCCCATCATAACACTAGCGTTGTCGGAACAGTATCCAACAATATTGGTAATTTTTACTTGATTGGATATAACGCATTTTTTAAAAAGAGAATATAAACCTTTGGCGGTACCTTAATCTGCGTTTATTTTAATTATATCTAATAAATGGGTTTTAATTGAATTTTTATGAATATACCTTACAAGAATGCATAGTAGTCTTGTATTGCTCAGGTCTGTACTCTCATCCAATAAAATAGAAAATGGTTTATTGTCCAATTCTGAAATTATTTCATCTTTAATAACAGGAGCCAGCACATTTTTAATTATACTTATGCATTTGGATCTTTTTAATTTAAGTGAGCTAGAGAGATCTGGGTCTTTAAAACTAATTGACTAACTCCTGTTATATGATCAACAGTTCTAAAACTTATATAATGACTTACAACTAAAAGACTATATCTTAAGCAAGCAAATATTTGCCGTTTTTCCAACTCACGTGCTTCCCGAGACTGACGTTCTTACATTCGAAATTGCTTGTACATTAGTGGCATGCCTTTTTGATTTCGTATGATTCACTAAATCTGATTTTTTAGCACCCATTATTTGATTACAAGCTTTACATTTTGCTTTCAACTTGTCATTTCAATAGGTCCCAACCAGCCTTTAAATAATGGATCTTCTAGCCATGATGAAGTAAACATTTGTTTTCGTGTCTTTTTCTTAACAGGTTGCTCTGGCTCTTGGTTATCCGCTCTTCTATTTTGTCTGTATTCAGGTTCGGCACGCTCCGAGTCCGACACAGATGCAGTCGAAGTGGATGGTACGGCCACGTTGGTTTCACCGTTTGTTTTTTAGAAGGATTTTTATCAAAAAAATCGCTAATGGTCTGCTGTCGCCTTTCCATTATTCCTATTTTCCAGAAGAAAAAGCGATAAAAACTAATTTCGCGACTAAGATTTATTTCTGGGTCAAACTATAATATGTTAGATATTTAAGCAGTTTTGTTACTTACCAGTAGATTTAATATTAAATATGCAGCAAATGATATATCAATAAAATGATCAACACAAAAATAAGAACACTAATATAAACGAACTAAAGAGTATATACCCAGAGCTGAAAAATACAATACAAAACGAGAAACCTAATATTATGCCTGCCTGCTGAGACCTGTTAGAAACGATTAGTATTGAAAGCAGTACGTACGCCATCTGTTATTGAAAAAAAAGGCAAGTGGAATAATTCTCTTCTCTGTTCCTAGATGGCTCAAGCGGCACCAAATGCACCAATTTTATTATTAATGTGATAATAAATCAGACTCTAGCCACTGCCTATTTAGGATTTAGAACGTTATTAACGTTAAAACAGTGAAATAAATATGATCGTTTTGTATGTAATAAATTCCGCTACATTTTGGGCTAATTTGCTCTACCGCCGCTACGCCGCTCTTCTCAAAATAATCCGCTACAAATAGCGGAATTCCGCTACGTATGGCAACACTGCATTTGAACCGTCAATTAAGTGTTATTTGAACTATCAGTCTTGACATTCGAGCTACGATGCTTGTTAATTTGAACTACTATTCCTGTCATTTGAACTACTATTCTTGTGCATTTGAACTACTATCCTCGGACATTTTGAAACTACTATGATGGTACAGGATGGCCAACTAAGAATGCGAGATATTATATCTGGGAACCTATCTAAATCTATCATAGAGGTTTGCGGCAAAAATAGTTATTACTAAAACAGACATGTCAATTTAAAATTTATCTTCGCAGTGCCGAAAAATGAATTAAATTATCAAATCATAAACGGAGAAGAAACACGTCCACCTGAGAAGGTCATCGAAGATATAGGAACCGCATTTGTCATATTAAATTTAGCTACTTTTTTTCAGTAGTGGTGTTCACTATAGGGTTCTCGATTGTCTCTCAGTGATACCTTGGTGTTGTGATGTGGGTGTCAAGTGTCTCCAAAGGGGAAATTAGGTCTACTTCCAACTCTTCTGAGGGAAACAGGATATCTGTGCAGCAAAACTAGGGTGAGCCTCGCATACTCATCTACTTGTGGTAAGGGTTGACAGCCTATGTTTTTTTTAATAAATTGCGCACATTGCATGCACGGAGAGACTATTCCTATACTGAGGTATATCTCAATCGCCAGAACAATATCAGAATCACTTCCAAAGCGACTCATTTTCACTAGCATAAGCTGATTGGCACTGGTTAAAAACAATATTACAAAAATTTTAGCTTAGCTGGGCGTTTTCTGCTGTCCTAGGAGGCCATAATTACATTGTTATCAAAGGTATTGTATTTTTGGTGACAACAGCTGTCAAATTTTGCCGCGGGGTCAACTGAAGAAAAAATGCTGACAGGTACTGTCATACAATTTTTCCATCTAGTAACCTTTTGTAATTCAAAATTCCGCGTTTGTGATTGGCAGAAATTAATGACGAGCGAAATAGTCGTCATGAAAACCGCTGATAAGTTTCAGATGCTACATTACACAAAAACTGGTGCCATGGCTTGACTTGGGTTTGAATGTTTATGGTGGCTATGTTGAAAATGAAAAAATGTTTATATTTTAGTTTGTGATACCATTTACATTCATAAATAAAATGTATCTGGACTGGATTACAAAAACGGTTCTTACTTCAAAATGACCCTCGTATAAACCGTTACTTCAATGCTATTTTTTTAGGTTAATAACTGTGGCATGCTGGCGATTTTCGATTCTTACAAATGAAGCCAGAAATTGTGGAACGACTTGATTTTGTTCAGCTGATACAATTAATCTTAGCAGTGACGGTTGAGGTTTTCCGCGCCCAAGTGCGAATGCAGTCATTAAAAACCATATTGTCCTTTTAAAAAAGATGAGAAAATTTACCTTCTCACTAACTTCAAATCAATCAAACTCTTCTGTATCGTTCTAGATCCTCTTTTGATAACAGCTGTTTCACTTCTTCTGGAGATAGAGTCAATAATATTTCCACTTTTCGACTAGCCATATTTGCAGCGAGTCTGGACACGACCGCTTGATGAAAATTCAAGATTTTCGGAACAAGCAGTTTCAAAACGGCCCCGATTGCGAAGAGTGGCAGTTTTCTATGCTTCTTCTCAGGAATCTCATTTTATCGACAAGCTGAAAAAGGAGAAAGCTACTATACTTAAAGGTGCTCCGGGTCAAGATTTTCCTGCTGCACAGCTTGAAGTGGTGTGATTTTTATTATAACTATTTACTTAATATATTAAATACAACAAAACTAAAGGTATCATACAATATAATCAACGCTCATCAAATATAGGTCTCTATACATGCCCTATAGTTGCTGTTATGGAAAAATAAATTTCTTACGGGATCAATTATCGCAAATCTGTCGAGATACTCCTCTTCTATGAAAAGTTGCTGAGGACGGCCATACTCTATGGACAAACGATATAAACTCTTGCGCAGGTGGTTCTTCATATAACATGACTAGAAGTTTGAGTTTCCTTTCAAAAACTGTACAGCCAGGTTTGTCTCAGTCGAATTTCAGTCTAAAAGCAAATTGCACATGATATAATAACTTACAAGAAAATCGTTTTATATTTGACAATGTTAAAATTGCTTACCAAATAATCACAGAAACAAATTGCAGATCCCGCTTTGACGATTTCCACTATCGATCGACTCTTGGTCATACCCTGAACTATGTGAATCTATTATCTTTTTGGACTATCCAATAAAAACATTTTCATACCTAGCATCCTTTGGATCATCTTCAAATACCATGGAATTCAACTTCTCGTCAAAAATAATGGACTGAAGCCAATACACAACACCACTGACAGCTTAATACTGGATAAAAAGTTACTTAAACTTAAAAATATCTCACTAATTTCGTGACCTGTACGAGGTTTTGCTGATCACGAGGTGTTTGTGTTCCATCAATGTACGGATAGCTGTTTTTGTTATCTTCAAATTGATTTCCTAAAACTGAAAACATCATAGCATCTAAAAAGAATGAAAGGATTTCTCTTTTGTTTGAAAGCCAACTTAATCTTGAGGGATCTTAGCTATCAGACAAAAAACTGTTCAGCCTTTCAAAGTTGGGAGTTTCAAACATTTTTAATTTATGCTTATTATATGGGAATAGATGAGGGGAATAAAATCTGTTTACCTGATTGAAATATGTATATACATGCAAAAACGCTGACACCTGCTGCATCAGAAATCCGCCTTCCTGATTCTGAATGACCTCAAAACACTTCTTAGCACTCAGAGATATGATCCTCAATAGAAATCTGACAAATATAAATTCCGCCCGGATATTCTGGAATGTTTCTGCATTGTTATTAACATTTAGCGGGTCCGCCTTGGTTGTAACGTTTTCAAAAATGCTGGCTGGAGAAAACTCGGATTTCAGTTTTTCAATTTTCGATAACAGCGTGTCTTCTTTAAGTGGACTGAGGACGTTGAGAAGTATCTGCACTTTGGCCAGCCAACTGTTGAACACTGATATATCTGCATCCTGAAATAAATAAGACTATAAGAATCTTAAGTTACAAGATTCGTTGAAATGGAAAATGTTGCCCAATGCTTTTTGAAAATAGTTGTAGATTCTGGTTGAGACATTTTAAATAATTTGCCACAAATGCTCATAAAGATATACTTGAAATCACTCAAGATAGTTCAAACGACATAAAAGTAGTGCAAACTGCACACAGAGTAGTTCGAATGCACAGTCGTTCAAATGGCATAGATAGTAGTTCAAATGACACATAGTAATTCAAATGACACAAAGTAGTTCAAATGGAACAGAGATTAGTTCAAATGGCAGAGTGAATAGCGCAAATGGCATAGAGAGAAGTTTAAATGGAACAGGTACACATACAATAACACAAAAAGTTTGCCAAATTACAAGATAAGTAAACAATAAACAAGATTTTATACGGCAGTCGTCGAGAATATCAAAAAATCTGTGCAATATTCTTGTTTTTTAATTTTTTTATCTATTACTATTTCTTTTATTATGCAACTTTTATATAGGTGATTTTTGGTATATCAACGCCCTACAAGCAGTTAGAATAAACGACTCAACACCCTGTATAGTAGTTCAACTGACACAGTAGTTCAAATGGTACAGATAGTAGTTCAAATGGTACCGAGAATAGTCAAATAGCACAGACAGTAGTTAAACTGACATTACCGTCCAAATTACTCAGAGTAGTTCAAATGGCACATATAGTAGTTCAAGTTGCATAAATAGTAGTTGAAATGTCATAATGTAGTTTAAATGGCACAGGGACCAGTCCTAATGACCCATAGTAGGTCAAATGGCACGGACAGTAGTTCAAATGGCACAGATATAGTGTTTGCAGCATTGCCACATGTAAAACAATGCAATTGCAACTTTTGCTTACCCGAGGTGGTTCTTGAAAGAACGTAACCGTGATTTCGTCAAATGGATGGAAGACTTCGGGATTGAGAGCCATTATGAGACCTTTTAGAGCCACAAACTCCTCAGGATTGCTCATCTTTAGTTTGTTCTGTTTGAGTAGCGGCAACAGCACCGAAAACACTCTCGTTGACCAATCTTGCCACTTTTCGGTGTTGTCTATACAATACTTGCTGTCTTCTAAGATCAGCGTTATTAGATCCATCACTTGCTTGTGGCCTGTCAGTCTTAAAAGCATCGATAGCACAACCTAAAATTAATTTAAAAAATGCAAATCACCCACGGAAAGAACCAAGTTTACTAAAATATGATGCAATTTGAAGAACGCAATTTTTTAAGTGAAATTCCTGAACTCGCTCAATAGATGTGTCTTTTCGTACCTCTCTAGTAGTTTCTAGTTCCTTCATATCAGTCGTGTTCGATTTGTTTCTGGTGAGGAAAATGTCGTCTACTATAGGTTCTAAAGCAGGAATACAGTGTGCAGCCGGTTGACCACTGGCCATCAAGCCGTCACAAAGTTGGATAATTTTTGGAACACTTATTATACATTTTGAGTGTTGTTTACTATAAGACAACTGTACGAGGAACTGGAATATCTTTGGTATCAATTCATCAGAATGCCTGAAACAAAAATAGTACCATACACTATTTCAAATGAAAAATCTTGTTCTAAAACTCACGGAATTTGTCCCTCTTCGATATACTCGAACTGCTTCAAAACAAAGTTGATGAACACTTGGTCAGAATCTAGTAAGCAGTAATTCACACGTAGTTGAACTAACTGACTCAGCAACTGAAGTACTTGGCATTGCAACTCCACATCACTAGTTATCGTATTGCTGAAAAAATCACAAAATATCTTGAAATAATATAAAATAACGTACACAAACTACTAACCCTTAGTGATTTGATGACCATAGGTTCGAAAATTCGGATGTAGGTGGCTAGAATTTTGTCAGAGCTCTTCGTTAAAATTACAGATCGCCTTTTGACATCTTTTCGATGCAAATATCCCATCACTGTGCTGTCATCGTCTAATCCGAATCGGGAAATATTATCCAACAGATATACATGTTGGGTCACAAAGCTGTACGGTTTGTGATACACGTTGTAATGGAAACCTTCAACAATTTCCTACAACAACAAATGTAATGTTGAAAACACGTTCACGAATAAGACAATGCTCTTAAGGCGCCTCTCGAAATAATTTAATTGATGGCTAAAAATATATTATTCCTTAGTTCGTTTTAGGAAGAAAAGTTTATATCAAAATATGTCCTAAACCTCTCAACTTTTGTCCTACTGGGTGTTAAGATTTTAAGAAAAAATTCGTTTTATCATCAAACTTTAATTCTGTTCTACATATTTTCATGAAATTTGAATACTTCGAAAAACAATAAAGTCATTTAAAACTACCTACTGTGTTGTTTTATTTCCATATGCAAAACTTAAAAGACATCCCTCGTAATAGTCATTTTATGATGTAGAATATTTTCCAATATTTCTACCAGTGGCGTCTGTACGGGATGTATACTGGAGATTTAAAAAAAATGGTACGCCATTGCTATTTTCGAAAATAATACCATTTTTGAAATCCTCATTTATTTTGCAACAAATTTGACCCCTTGACTTTTTTCTGCCCGATGCATCGTTTTAGCGTAAAAAATTAAAACCAGTTTGGCTATTTTAATCAATTGACTTGAATTAAAATTAAACAAAAACACATCTTACCTTCAAATTACCACATGAGATTTTAGAGTTTTGCAATGCATGAAAATAAAAAAGCAAGTTTGCAACTAGCTGACACAAGAATCGTTGAACATGTTTTCCTTCTGCTAGAATGCAGGCTTCAATTCTCTATCTCGTGGATTGGCGAGCCCTTTCAAAAATTCCAGGAGGTTTGGCAAGAAAGTTTTTTTGCCTTAGTTCCTCTACAGTTGGAACCGGTGTAGTATAAACTAAAGTCTTGAGGTGCCCCCACCAAAAATACTCTAAGCTATTTAAATCAGGCCAAGATATTTGCAGGAGCACCATCATGCATGTACCACATTTCTTCTCTTAATAAAAGAGGTGCTTCCTCGAGCAAAATTAGCAAATGGTTTTCAATTTCAAGAAAATGACGATAGGATAGTCCATCCAGTCTTCCTGGAGGAAGAAAACGGTCCTATGAGGAAATCTCCAACTATTCCAGCCACACATTCACAGAAAACTCCTCTTGGTGATGTGCCTCCGTAATTGGTTTTTGGTTTTCTTCGGGCCATACATGATTATTATGGAAATTTCGAATTAATTGCGGGAAAAACTAGCTTGCTCAGTAAGGAGTGCTTTTGTATCAAATAAGGGGTTTTCAGCAAGTTTTCCTAAAAACGCAATGGAAAATCATGCAGCAGTAACGCTGGAACCCTTTGAATATGACAGGAGCATAATAAATTACCAACAAGTATTTCCCTAGTACATGTTTCTGGAAGTTCCTCAATTGTGTTCAAAATAGCTTCCTCTAATTCAGGTGTTCTCACCATGTGATGTGTTCATTTGGAACTACTGTCAATGCTAAGACTCCCAGCTTCATCTAGTCTTCTGTATATTCTAGAAAACATTCTGGCATCGGGGATGATTTAATTGGATAGCACTCTGGATATATCCGCCTAGCCATAAGCGCAAGCCCGTAGGTAAAATGCATATCTGTTAACTCGGAATTTGTAAAACTTGGCATAGTTTGCTTATTTTTCTTTATTATTGATTAAAGAAACTTTCACAATATAAAAAACTATCACGTTTATGAATACATGTCAAAATAAGACAGCAACTTATTCGATCAAATGTCATTAATTTAAAAATTTATTGCAAAATAAATGAGGATTTCAAAAATATTTTATTAAAAGCAAAATGGCGTACCATATTTTTTTCTGAAAAATCTCCAGTACGAACGCGATCGTAGAAATATTAAAAAATATTCTATATCAAAAAATGCCTATTGGTGCTTAGTAGGCGCATGTCAAATTTCATGAAAAAGCATCTACTCGTAGAACAATATTAAAGTTATGATAAGACGAATTTTCTCAAAAGTTAAGAGATTTAAGACATATGTTCATATAAACTATTCTTTCTAAAATGACCTAAGGATCATATCCTGTATTTTTAACCATCAATTAAATTATAACCCTGTATCAAGAAACTTACAACACCCTGTAAGTTGGTAATGGTTCAGACCTATATGTATAGAAATTTCTTATGCTATTTCTTCTAAGAAATTAAGCAATTGCAACTCATCATCTTCCTTCCTATTTGTGCTCAGCTCTGCGATGTTCGCTGCCAAATTGGTTCCAAAAGACACTTCAATAACTGTTGTACGCCCTCCACAGTCGCTGAAGGTTTTACCGTGAAGTAGACCGAAAGTAGCTCAGGATATCTTCGGAAACTCTACTGAACTCGGTTAAAGAGCCGACTTCCATCAAAACGGATATGTTTCTTAGTGTTGCTACCATGAGGTCGACGAATGTGTGTGTGATTCCGTATCCAGGGACATCTGCAATCATAATGATATTCAAAGAAACTTTGTTTAGAGCGCTATCTCTCGTCCAATATTGGCTCTAAGCTGCTCGAACGTCGCCGGCTTGTCGGCTAGACCAATGATTTAATGTAGCCCCACAAAAAAGTCTAGACGTGTTAAATCATACGGCAGGTCCATTTCTCGATATAACACGTTCACCGAATTTTGATTTCAATATATCGATTGCTGTGGGGCTATTGGCACGGCACCGTCTTGTTGAAAACCACGTATCATTATTGTCTAGCCCATTGATTCCCAAAGTGGTCTATATCGACCCCTAGGGTCTATGACAACCTGCAAGGGTCTACGTCAGCGAAAAAAAATTTGGGGGTCCATGAAATGAATATGGGGGTCCACGATAGTGGATCTCAAACATACACTGATAGTACCTATTTACTTACATCATACTATCTTATAATATCAAAACATATACATTATTTATAAAAGTACCTATGAAGTAAAAAATTTATTATATATGTTTATAAATTGTGTAAGTTGTAGGATGTTGGTATTCGCTTTGTGGTCGCAATACATTTTGAACTTGTAAAAACCTGAGAGTCGCAGTCTCAGAGCTTCGCTACCTTGCACTGACTTGTTCAATTCGTTACTCTATAAATACGAATGTGGACAAATACGTTTATTCGTTTCCTGAATCTCGAAAATGGAAAGTGCTAAGAAATATTTTAAAAAATATAAACAGATAGTATATCACACAAATTATAGTGAGTCAGTGTTATTTTGTTTGAGAGTGCTGGAGAAAAGTAAGTACAATTATTTTAGCAAAGATAGATAAATTACGCCAATCATGACTTTAGTTATTAGTAGTTAAATATTCAATCATGCAAAATTACAAGAGTACTCCTCAATAGTTTCTTTTTGAAAGTTTTAGCAATCGGTAATATAATTACAGTGCAATCTCCGTAATTCGAGCTAATTGTTGCAGAAGATGTTTGAATTATGGAATGTTTTCGGAAAAATCAAAACATTTTTAATATACAGCTGCTGGTTTTTTCTGTCTTATTTAAATAATCTAATTTTGCCTACAGATGCCATGTCCGAATCTAAAAAGAAATGTAGACAGTACAGTGTTGATTATTTGAAATTTGGCTTCATTCCATCATTGCCGGACAAACAATCGCCTATGTGCCTTTTATGCAACAAAGTTTTGGGCAATGACGCTATGAAACCATCTAAACTGCAAGATCATCTGAGAAGATGCCACCCTGATAAAACAGAGAAAGATTTGAAATACTTTCAAACACTCAAAGATAAATTTCAGAAGAGACCTACACTGGACAGAATGTTCGCTTCGACGTCACAAAGAAATGATGATGGTTTGCGGGCGTCTTACAATATCTCGTTACTTATAGCAAAATCCGGAAAACCGCATACTATCGGAGAGAAGTTAATTTTGCCAGCCGTTGAAGAGGTTTTAAAAACTGTTTTACACAAACCTGCATCTGATATCATTAAAAGAATTCCCTTAAGCAACCATACTGTTGAAAGACGTATTGATGAAATGAGTTCTGATATTGAAAGCTTCTTATGTAATTATTTGCAAACGACCCATTTCTCTATACAACTGGACGAGTCAACTTTACCTGATAATGCATGCATTATTATTGGCATATGTTCGTTTTATTATGAATCAAGAAATCTACGAAGAACTGCTCTTCGCAAGAACTTTGATAACCGACACTAAAGGTGAATCAATATTTCATGTTTTGAAGGATTACTTCATTGAAAAAGCAATTCCTTTATCAAATATAATATCAGTAGCTACAGATGGAGCACCTGCCATGGTTGGACGTTATCGTGGATTTATAAGCTATTTAAAACAAAATGTGTCAGGGGTGTTAGCAATACATTACGTCATCCATCGACAACATTTAGTTGCTAAAAATTTGAGTGTTAGATTGCATGAATCACTTCATTTAGTCATTGATGCAGTAAACCGAATCCGAAGCAACGCGTTGAATACGCGGTTATTTGCGCAGTTGTGTGAAGAAAATGACGAACACTTTCATCAATTACTCCTTAAGCTCTTTTTGCACTTTTGAGACTATTTTAGAATTTCTGCATACTAAAGATAAAATTTTAAAAGAAAATTTAATGAAGAGGAAAACAGACATCGCCTATTTAACAGATTTGTTTACAAAATTTAATATGGTTATTTTGCAATTACAAGGCGACAGTATAAATTTGATTAAAACAAAGTCCATCTTATCAGCGTTTCTTGCCAGAGCTAAACTAATGAAGCAAAATATTGGACGGGCGAATTTTCTCAGTTCCCCAATTTGTCAGACAAGCTGCCAGGCAGGAAGACGACGTTTCAACTTACGTTCAACATTTAAATGCCCTCTGTTCAGATTTTGAATCTAGGTTTGAGGATATTTTGACTATGGTAATACCACCGTGGATAATTAATCCATATGGTGACATAGAAGAAACGAATGTCATAATACAAGAGGAACTGACTGAACTAAGTACAAACGAAGAACTTAAGGTTCAGTTTAAAAACGGATATCAGCAATTCTGGCTGCAAAACAACATACCCGTTACTTATCCCGTATTATGGAATATAGCGAGGAAATTTTTAATTTCCTTTCCATCGTCATACCTAGTGGAAAGGGGGTTCAGCGCTGTTACCAATCTCCTAACGAAAAAAAGAAACAGACTGGACATCATTAGCCGAGGAGATTTAAGATTAACCCTTACAAAATTGACGCCAAATGTTGATAATTTATTATTAAAGCATCAGGTTCATCCTTCTCACTAAAAATATTGACTTATTGCTTATGTTATTTTATTTATAGTTTATTTTATGTTTATTGGTGTCTGACCAATAAATGCCCGCATTGGGAATAAGTGCCCGCATTGATTTTTTTAAAGAACCCCCCTTTATAGAAAATATTTTTTTTTAAATTATTCTGAAAATTCAAGGATAGGTACACACTAAAATTCGTTAATTTTTTGCCTATTTTTAGATAACTTAAACGTATAAGAAGCGGAATTTAATCAAACTAACAGTGAAATTATTGTAGAACATACGTTTATGTTATAATTAATAAACGAACTCGCTTATTGTACTATTTTAAGTAAAAAACTTTTTTTTATTATTTTTCACTTTTTTTTATTTTATCCCTCTTATTTCTCTTTTCAATGCGGGCACTTATTCCCAATGCGGGCACTTATTGGTCAGACACCTGTTTATTTAATGTTACGTATATTTTACATAACAGATACAAAATTTATTTTGAGTAGTTTTAATTTAAATTCAATTAATAAATGTATAAATTAACATGTGTTTTTACTTTAAGTTTTTAACACTAAACTTCACTACAGTTAGAAATTTACAGGAAATCAATATCAGGTAAGTAGGGGGTCTACCCAACACGGAAAAACATGGCAAGGGGTCTACGACACAAAAAAGTTTGGGGAACTCTGGTTTAGATGATATAATTTTCAAGAAATGAATTCCAACTAATTAGCTTTCTTGTTGAATGAATGAACAAATTTTTTTAAAATAATGTCAAATGTTTTTTTTTTCAAATGTGAACTAATATCCTTAAATCCATTGCCCACTCATTAGAGTTTTAAAAAATAATAGAAGTACACTTACAAAAATCAAATGTAAAATTTTTTTATTTTGTCCCCCCCAAAAATACTCGTTAGTTTTGGTTTGATTTAAACGCACCTTCACAATGAAAGTTCAAAATTGTCCCTATTGGAAAACTCGATACCTCAGATAGAGGTTAGTTGCTATCCTCTAGTTTGTTGTCCTGACCTGAGGCAAAGCCTAGACGATGCTAATGAGTTGCCAAAAAGCACAAACATCCATGATTGACTGTCTGTGGTCCAGACTCGCAAAAGCAAGTCCTTGACTCAAAATTGATGACAGTTTTTTTCGACGAATGTCCAACTTCATGGCCACATAATGATTATTTTCAACACGCTAAGAATAAGGTGCAAACACTGAGAGCGGTTAACGATACGCCAGAAAGAGCAGCCAAGTTAATGCAAGTCTTCCATGGCTCAATCACTGCTGATGAGGAACAAAAACAATTTTTATTACGTTGGCTGGTATATTCTGACTGTAAAAATAAAACTTGAAAGGAAAATTTAACGGGTGATTTTTTTTCCTAGTATCTTTTTGGCAACACTGTTTTTGACAGATGAGGCGTGAATCGTGTCTTGAGTCATTGTCAAACTTGTTCAGTTTGGTCTATAATTAACCATGAATCGACTTACGAACGAACAACGCTTGCAACTTATTGAATTTTACTATCAAAATTCTTGCTCGGTTAAGAGAGTGCATCGAGCACTGCTTACAATTTATGGGCAATTTGGTCGGCCTACTGAGGGAGCTATTCGGAAGCTTGTGACTAAATTTCAAACCCAGTTTACATTATTGGACATTAAACCACCAACACGCAGACGTAGAGTGAGGACTGAAGAAATATTGCGGCTGTATCCGCGAGTGTTAGTGATGACCCCTGAAATGTCGATTCGCCGCCGTTCGCAGCAATTGGGCCTCTGTTACTACTCCACTACGTGGTAAATTTTGCGACAGGATTTGGGTGTAAAACCTTATAAGATACAGCTGGTGCAAGAATTGAAGCCACACGACCTCCCACAACGTTTCCAATTTGGTGAATGGGCGCTGGAAAAGTTGGAGGAAGATCCACATTTTTATCGAAAAATTGTGTTCAGCGACGAAGCTCGTTTCTGGTTGAATGGGTACGTTAACAAGCAAAATTGCCGCATCTGGAGTGAAGACCAGCCAGAAGCATTGCAAGAGCTACCAATGCATCCCGAAAAATCCAGTTTGTTGTGGATTAAGGGCCGGTGGCATCATCGGGCCGTACTTCTTCAAAGACGACAATGGCCGGAACGTAACTGTGAATGGCGAGCGCTACCGTGCGATGATAACAAACTTTTTTTTGCCCAAAATGGAAGAGCTGGACTTGGCTAACATGTGGTTTCAACAAGACGGTGCCACATGCCACACCGCACACGAAACAATGGTCCTATTGAGAGGCGAGTTCGGTTAACAGTTTATCTCACGTTTGGGGCCCGTCAATTGGCCGCCTAGATCGTGTGATTTAACGCCGACTATTTCTTGTGGGCCATGTTAAGGCTAATGTCTACAGGGATAAACCAGCAACGATTGACGCACTAACCATATTGAAGCA